ATGCTTTCGTTGTCGGAGCTTACATGCTTCACCCACAACAACTGAGAGAGAGAGAGAGATTGGACAGGCCTTATGAATTAGCTCAGGACGGAGGGAGCAGAATAAGAAGTCGGCGTGGTGTCTTCGCAGCATCTTTCTCGTTTCCTCATGCAGATCACGGCTCGTTGCTTCGAGGGCTTGGCTCAGTCAGCTTTTTCCACGGTATAGTAACAGTACAGTGTAGTATAGTATATAGTATAGTATCGTATGGAATAGTATAGGATGGTTGGACTCGGTCTCAAGCACAGTGTTCAAGGCCTTCAGAATTCAGAGTGTCGCAGCATGACTAGGACTAGTCGGAGTAAGAAGAGGAGTAGTGGCAGTAGCAATTAGCAGTGTAGTATAGTAGTAGTAGCAGCAGTAGGAGTAGGAGTAGGAGTTGGAGTAATAGCTGTAGCACTGTACCAGTTGAAGTAACGGTAGTAGTAGTAGTAGTAGTAGTAGTAGTAGTAGTAGTAGTAGTAGTAGTAGTAGTAGTAGTAGTAGTAGTAGTAGTACCTGCAATTCTGCAGGGTCTGGCTGGCATCGTCTGGCGAGCACGGAAGTCGATCGAACAAAAATGACCTGGGGAGGGGTTTAGGGTTTGGAGGTGTAGGGTTTAGGGGCAGTCGCAATAGGCCTGGATGCAAAAAAGGGTTTAAGGGCTTAGGGTTTAGAGCAGTGTCCGCAAGGATGCACACAGGGCTAAGCGAAAGTAATGGCAGCGTATGTAGTCTGTAGACTTCACCATCCGGTCCGATAATCCGATACCCCTCCTGAACTCATGCCACGAAGTACCCTGAACATGTTCTATATCGCTGGGACTCTGCATTGTCGCACGAAGACAGCTTGACGCTTGCTTGTGGCTGTGAGGTGTCGTTTCGAGTTCAAACTGTTCGCACGCGTAGAAGATAGATACTGCGTGTAGGCGTGCACCAGGCCCTCATTGTTGGCCTTGTGGGTTGCAGGAGCGAATCCGATTGTTCAATCTTTCTTTGGCTTTCTGCCAAGCCTGATGTCATGGATCAAGTTCTGACACGATGGAGGGCACAGTATTGCTGGCCATGCATTTCGCCCTACTAGAGCTCGGGGTTACGGGGTTGTTACTGTTTAGGGCTTCTGCGGTTCAGGCTGGAACGGCAATGGGCCAAGGGCAAGGCCGGGATCCGATTGGCCTTCACTTATTCACGCAAATACCCCTCAAGGAACTGTCTAGAGTCTAGGGCTTAGGTCTTAAAATCTCCTTTTGGGCTTTGTGGTCTATAGGATTTAGGATTCAGTGTTGAGAGCTCGAGGCTGTTGCACCGTTCGGGGGTCCAGTGCCGATGTTTCTGATTATTTAGACAATTTAATAAAGTGATACACCAACCTTTAATGGATGTGAAGTGACCAGCGGTGTGGAGAGAGGGAGGTTATACCAGTATCGCCTTTCTCGCGGTTTTCGTGGTACAAGTCCACCCTGACAACACTATAGTAACTCGTTGATCGGAATGAAGGTCTACTGGGGTTCCGAAAAGGGATCCTTATAGGGTTCCTTCAAAGGGATCTATAGGCTTTAGGGTATTATAAACATCTGCCACCGGCTGAATTCGTGCAGACCTCAGGTTAGAGCTAGAGCCTTAGAGTGCTGAGCCTGGACGACTGCCAGGTGTGGTGGGCAGTGGTGGAACTGGTGGCCTGCAAAACTTGATCCGGGCGTACCAGGTGTCTCGTAGGGAAGATCAAGCGAGTCTAGAGGGGATTGTTGAGATTGCCGAGGGGTTCAGGGTTTGCGGGTTTGGGCTTTCGATGGCTTTCGATAGTGCAAACTCTCGGTGCTCCAGGAGAGCAGGAGGATAGCATGGCAAAAGTTTGGATTCAGCCGGATAGAGCTGGTGACTTCGTGGGTCTAGGACCTATCGGGCTCGAGAACTCGCAAGGGTGAAGAACTGCTATTTGGAGCAGCTCAAACCTTTGAGGGCCCCTATAGACCTAGAACCTGTGGCTTTGGCTCCAGGCTACCTAGTCCGAAGTCGGTGGGACCCGAAGCCCTGACACAGTCTCAAGGCCGTAATATAGGGGCCTTGATAATTACCTACACTATAGTGGGTGTTTTTGCTATAGGTATTATGGTATACTAGTATACTATATAGTTTGTGTACTATATCCCCCAAGCCCTGCAACTATTCAGGCCCCTATAGGGTCCTGCAGGTTTCCAATCCCCGGGCACTGCATGAAAGAAGAGGGAACCTCAAACGAAGGGCGCAAGGGCTTTTCTGGAACATAGAGGGTGGGAGGCCCATTTTTCAACACTGCATAAATAAAGCTCAAAACAGCATACTCTTCTCGGCATCCCAACCAGCGGTATGGAAAGCCAGAATCCCCAAGTAATTGCCGTTAACTCTGAACTCAAGTTCAGGGTTTAGCGTCCGGGACCCTAAACCCCAAATCCTACACTCTGCATGGAAAAGGTCCGGGGTCACGAAGCTGCCAACTTGGACCCACTCGGACACCAGCCGACAAGTTCGCGGGTTCTTTTTGAGGGTGGGTTCGGGGTTTGGGTACTGCATCATTTGAAACACCGGTCACCGTTATCATGCAGGGGCTAGGGTTGACCCCAAACTTGCTGCTGGGGTTGGTGATCCAAGACACTGTGCACGAAGCTCCTAACCAAACGCCTCATCATGTCACGTCCGGAACCCTGTGGATCAGCAGGACCATTATTAATCACTGTCATGATGACAAGAGACTCAACATGATGGCCATCATGACAATGTCAAGTGCGCGGCAATAGCAACCACAGCGCATAATGAGACATACATAGTCGAAAAGCTTCGCTCTCACGCTTGCGAGGACAATGGGGCTGATGGTAATGGTACTCGACGTCGATAGCCGACTAGGCATCAAAGAATACACGAATGCAACAAGAAATAATGTGAAGTACGTACTGCATACACAGGAAATGCATTAAACAAGCATGTGACCACATTGACTACATGAACAAACGCGAAAATGTTTCATAACAACAAAACCCATCATTCGTGTAGTAAAGGCACCATCATCTTTGCTGCTCCTTCTTCATCTTCTGCATCAGCATGATGGCGATGTACAGTGTCATTTTCCTGATGAAGATAACTAGATGACTTGCATCGTTCCCGACCCTTCGCACCGTCGCAACTTGCATGATGATTTGAGTCCTGGCGAGGGGGATGAAGGGCTTGTCTTGCAGGCTCCAGAGAGTTGGGTGTTCACTTAGGTTGGTGCAAAGAGTTCGAAGTCAGTGGCGGTGGTTTCAATTGCTTCAAGCTTATAGGGCTACCGTCCGACATGACGGTGACATGTCATACCTGGTCCGCAAATGCCGACAGAGAGCAACCACTCACAAGTAGGGCGAATGCCGTGTCCCGTCACAGCGCCGCTACTGTAAGGACTCCATGCCTGGCGCAAGTGGTCTCAAAAGGCACATGCTGTTGCAGCTGTTTGGAATCTATGCGCTCTATACGTTGTAGATCGTAGAGATTTATAGGGCTTCGGGATTGGGCGGCGATGACGGCCCGAGCGGCCGCAAGTCACTTTGCACATATCAGCTATGCTTTTGGATTGCCTTCGGGTCGGGAGAAGTGCAACAGCAAGTGCTTGGCATGCTTCCTTGGCCATCTTGCTCAAAGTTGCAGAGTGTGGCTCCTCAGGGGTGCCAAAGCCATCAGCACCCTATCGCCGGCAGGGTAAACGCAAGGTGAAGAAATTGTAGTCAGTTGTACGACCTGACAAATCTCGCCAGCCTCGTGATAGAAGGGCAATCGCGCTTCAGACCGAGACGGCACATTTCAGCAAGCCACGATGCAGCAGAAAGGCGAGCAAGGTAGCGCAGACACCGGTACCGAGAGGTGAAAGCGAAGCTCGCGCGGGCAAGAACCCACCCTGCCCTTGAACCCCACTGAACTTCAAACCGTGCACTCCCCACCGCACAACATCACAACATTAACAAGCTGCCGAGAGCTAGCCAAAAAGTCTGCCAACCGGCAAGCCGGAAGTAATGGCGCCGCCGAGCCTCAGCGCCGATCCGCACTGGGAGCCGCTCTGCACGTGCTCTAAAGCATAGAAGCCAGAATAATTGCCAACATTTTCCATAGGGTTCCTTCATATAGTAGATATCGTAGGATAGTGCCCGAAAACTTTATTCTAATGATGGATGCCCTCTGCATGTGTTTTTAAATTTCTATTGTTTTGAAACAGCGGTAAAAGACACCCGTCAGGATGAGCCGTGAGCCTAACCCCCAACGCCTACAACATCATCGACGGCCAAAAGTAGATGTGTGAAGAAGTTCCAATTTCTATTGAATGGCAAGGCAGTTGTTGTGCGAGCTTGAGCAGGCTTTGGCTGTCAGGCTTCGGCAGCGTTTCGGTTTCGACATTACTGACGGCTTAGCAGCAATAAGAGGAGTAGCAGTAGCAGTAGCAGTAGCAGTAGCAGTAGCAGTAGCAGTAGTAGTAGTAGTAGTAGTAGTAGTAGTAGTAGTAGTAGTAGTAGTAGTAGTAGTAGTAGTAGTGGTAGAAGTAGTAGTAGTAGAAGTAGTAGTAGTAGTAGCAGCAGTAGTAGCAGTAGAAGCAGTAGTAGCAGCAGTAGTAGTAGTAGTAGTAGTAGCAGTAGCAGTAGCAGTAGCAGGAGCAGTAGCAGGAGCAGCCGTCGTCGTAGTCGTAGTGGTAGTGGTAGTGGTGGAAGAACTACATGCATCCAACCTAAGGCTCATCCGCCAAGTGGCTGCCGCCGATGCCCGCGCCAAGCGCGCCGGCCGCCGCAGCAACGGGAGCAGATTTATTTTGCATTGTGTTGCTACAGTGTTTTTGCTGGAAGAAGCAGAAGCGCCCGCCCGATGCTACTGACACGTTCGGGCTTGGCTGGGAGTTGCGCATAGAGGATCTTGAACCTCTACACAAGTTGCGTGATGGAATGGGCAGTAGGTTTAGGAGGGTGAGTGTGACGGCGGACTGACCACCTTGGGATGCTTCGGGCAGCCGCGAGGATTCCACCGGAGCTTTCTGTGCCCGTCCTTGCCGCGGTGGCGTTGGCCTTGCGTCAGCAGAAGGCGCAGGAGGCTCCATGGCACTGCTCCCGGTCCTGTCTTGGAAGGACTATGGCTTTAACTCTCATATCCGTAGCACAAGGGTTGTAAACCGAGCTCCTTCCCGGATCGGTGGCAGAATCTCGCACCGCAGTGGATCCCAAAGTTCTTACCTCATCCCTTACAGTAGGATCACATGCTGCTCCTTTTCGAACGAGATCGCAGGCGCTGCAATAGCCTGGAGTCCCAAAACCAAACTAGTCCGAAGCCGACACCCCAAAGGGTCCATGTGCCCAAATAGTATATATACTTTGGCCCCAAAGTACCCATATACTATAGGGACTACTTCAAGGCCCAAGTATGTACTATTTGGGTACATGGACCCTTAGGGAACATGTCTGCAGTAGTCTGAATTGTGTAAGTGTGCCGTACTAGTCTAGGGGACCTAAGAAGGGACCCTGATTTAGCAAAAACAAACAGCTCTTTGATTTACACCTTCTTCACCCTATCACCGTAAACGTTAGCCGCTGAAACCTGACTTGTAGTCCTGTAGTCTAGACATCTTGCTAATGTACCAGTGCTAGAAACACAAAGTTTCAGGGGTCTTGTATTACCGGAACCCTAAACCCTCAACCCCCGGAGTACAGGCGTCTCCAGCGCCTGCTTTCGCTGTTGCCACCCCAGAGGACCTCGAAGAGGTGACGGAGGCGACGTCGGGTTTGAGTTCCCTGAGGCCCGCCTCTCAAGTTTATATAGAGTGAATGTAGAGTTCTCGCGCTTACGGTAGGGCGTAAAGTTTAGGGGTGGCAATGTGCACCGCGGCCCCTGCTCAAAGAAAAAGAGGTGTAACGGCGATTGCATAAGATGCAAAGAAAAGCAAGGAGGTGGGATTCCCACATAGGTCTAGCTTCCATTTTTCAAAAACAGGCCCCCTACATGACCAGGGAAGGAGTCAAAGGGTTCGGGTGCCTGGGAACTGGGCCGAGGCCGGGCTGCTTCCAGGTCCTATAAGCCGAAACCCCGCAAAACACCCAAACTCCAGAGACCCTTAAGCCAAAAACCTCGCAAAATTGGAATTGTATTCCCAAGCTCAAAAGCCCCAGGCCCTGCACTTGAGCCTATATATGGGAGTTTCCGAAGATAGGGTACCCCAATATCGTGCCCTAAATAGTCGGATCCTTAAAATGCGGTACCCCGAATATTCGGAAACTCTAAACCCTTATAAAGCCCCGTAAAGGAGCCCTTATAGTCCCCTTATAGTAACCCCTTAAACGAACCCTAAGGTACCCCCTAATTTTCGGAAACTCTCCACCCTTATAGGAACCCTAAAGACAGTACCCCTATAGTAACCCTTTGAAGGACCGTAGGGTACCCCTAATTTTCGGAAACTCTCAACCCCTATAGGAACCCTTAAAGTACCCTTATAGTAACCCTATAAGGGTGGTTGTCAAAGTTAGGGTCCCTTTTTGGATCCCTAAGACAATACGGCACCTAATATGTAAGGTGCCCAAAAAGGGCCCCTAATTGTCGGAAACTCCTACATGAAAGGCGCCGCCGCCCCGCTGGCGTTCGCTCCGTGCTTGCCGGGACCAGGGCATACAGGCCGTGAACTGCTTGGAGCTCTGGGTCCGGGTTTAGGATTTGGGGTTTAGGGTTTAGGTTTAGGGTGTGGGGTTCAGGGGTGTAGGGATTTATTGGTTTAGGATTAGGGGTTTTTGGGTTTAGGGGTTTATATAATATATAGGGATTTCGGGGTTTAGGGGTTTAGGATTCAGGGGTTTGGGGCTCAGGGGTTTAACATTTTGTGGTTTCGGGTTTTGGGTGGGTGCTGCACCAGGGAAAGCCCTGCATTTTGTAGAGGGCGCAGCTGGGGCCCTGACGGTCCAGAGCAGGGTCTTACAGCGAGACGCAAGTAAATTCAAGCAGGTCATGGTAGCTTAGGTTGAGGAGAATTTAAGAGTTCGGGTTCGAACAAGTTACAAAAAAATCTTAAACCTTAAACCCTGAATCCATCCGGTGATTATCCTTACGACTTGGTTGGGTTGCTGTGCTCAGTACGATGCACTGCTTTCGATAGTAGTTGAGATCCTGTGGACTATGTGGAGCCTTGCCTGCCTGGTGCGAGCGTGAGCGTCGAAATCCATCCGAATCCCAAAAGCCCCAAGCCCGTCGTTTCAGTTGGACTTAGGCTTGAATCCGCGCCAGCCCAATGCGAGTCTGCAAGTCGAAGCCCTTTGGAAACCCCAAACCTTAAACCGGCCGTCTGCGGACCGGAAAGGAGCCTTGAACAAAGAAAGCCTTTACACTAAAACTAAAACCTACATAAAACGCCCTCTGAGAGGCGGGAGATCCTTGGATCGAGCTTGCAGACGAAGGACACGGGAAGAAATGCCGGGCGTTTTTTCAAGGGATCTACAGGGATTTTCGTGAGAGCTCGAAGGGGTCTGTGCGAGAGCTTTGCTAAGCTCTTGGCAAGTCGCCAAGCCGCCGAGAGGTACAAGCTGTGTGGCTTTACAAGCACAGGCGGGGCTTTTCTTCGTTCAAACCTGGTACTTGTGACGGTGTTCTTCGAGGTTCGCATGATGACACCGGAAGCGAGCTGCGCTTGAGTGCTCGAGCCAACGAGCTTGAGCAAATGCTGAAGTTGTGGATCGAGAGCTCTGAGAACCTCGAAATTCTCGGCAGGTTCGAGATCTGACAGAGTTTGTAAATTTCCGTGTGAGCGGGGTGCGTGAGCTGTTTAAACGACCCATCTTGGGAATCGCGTGGGTCATTTTGCAGATCTGATTGTTTGGTGCTGCCGCGCAGAAAAGCACACATTTGGGGTATGCTGCAACAGTTCAAGATCAGCCTTTCGAGCTTGATTAAGCCCATGCTGAAACAGAGGAAACGGCATTAATAATCGAGAAATCACGGACTCGACAAGTGCACAGAGAGCCGACGCAAAAGTTTAGCGAGGGTTCAGCAATACAGGCAGCCAACCCAAAGCAAGTTTGGGGTATTTTGGGGTATCTTCAGATTCGGCTGTGGCCGCAAGCATTCGCCAGTTGTACCCTGCGCAGTTCGGTTTTGAGGGTGCAGGCTTTTCTATAAACCCTAAACCATATAGTACTTTGCCTGCTGCGTGCGAGTGTGAGCGTCGAAACCTATAGTGCCCCCAAGTGCGAAAGCTTTTCTCAGCTCTTGGTACGTCGCCAAGCCGCCGAGAGGTACAAGCTGTGTGGCTTTACAAGCACAGGCGGGGCTTTTCTTCGTTCAAACCTGGTTCTTGCGACGGTGTTCTTCGAGGTTCGCATGATGACACCGGAAGCGAGCTGCGCTTGAGTGCTCAAGCCAACGAGCTTGAGCAAATGCTGAAGTTGTGGATCGAGAGCTCTGAGAACCTCGAAATTCTCGGCAGGTTCGAGATCTGACAGAGTTTGTAAATTTCCGTGTGAGCGGGGTGCGTGAGCTGTTTAAACGACCCATCTTCGGAATCGCGTGGGTCATTTTGCAGATCTGATTGTTTGGTGCTGCCGCACAGAAAAGCACACATTTGGGGTATGCTGCAACAGTTCAAGATCAGCCTTTCGAGCTTAATTAAGCCCATGCTGAAACAGAGGAAACGGCATTAATAATCGAGAAATCACGGACTCGACAAGTGCACAGAGAGCCGACGCAAAAGTTTAGCGAGGGTTCAGCAATACAGGCAGCCAACCCAAAGCAAGTTTGGGGTATTTTCAGATTCGGCTGTGGCCGCAAGCATTCGCCAGTTGTACCCTGCGCAGTTCGGTTTTGAGGGTGCAGGCTTCCATAAACCCTAAACCATATAGTACTTTGCCTGCTGCGTGCGAGTGTGAGCGTCGAAACCTATAGTGCCCCCAAGTGCGAGAGCTTTTCTCAGCTCTTGGTACGTCGCCAAGCCGCGGAGAGGTACAAGCTGTGTGGCTTTACAAACACAGGCAGGGCTTTTCTTCGTTCAATCCTGGTACTTGTGACGGTGTTCTTCGAGGTTCGCATGATGACACCGGAAGCGAGCTGCGCTTGAGTGCTCGAGCCAACGAGCTTGAGCAAATGCTGAAGTTGTGGATCGAGAGCTCTGAGAACCTCGAAATTCTCGGCAGGTTCGAGATCTGACAGAGTTTGTAAATTTCCGTGTGAGTGGGGTGCGTGAGCTGTTTAAACGACCCATCTTGGGAATCGCGTGGGTCATTTTGCAGATCTGATTGTTTGGTGCTGCCGCACAGAAAAGCACACATTTGGGGTATGCTGCAACAGTTCAAGATCAGCCTTTCGAGCTTAATTAAGCCCATGCTGAAACAGAGGAAACGGCATTAATAATCGAGAAATCACGGACTCGACAAGTGCACAGAGAGCCGACGCAAAAGTTTAGCGAGGGTTCAGCAATACAGGCAGCCAACCCAAAGCAAGTTTGGGGTATTTTCAGATTCGGCTGTGGCCGCAAGCATTCGCCAGTTGTACCCTGCGCAGTTCGGTTTTGAGGGTGCAGGCTTCCATAAACCCTAAACCATATAGTACTTTGCCTGCTGCGTGCGAGTGTGAGCGTCGAAACCTATAGTGCCCCCAAGTGCGAGAGCTTTTCTCAGCTCTTGGTACGTCGCCAAGCCGCGGAGAGGTACAAGCTGTGTGGCTTTACAAACACAGGCAGGGCTTTTCTTCGTTCAATCCTGGTACTTGTGACGGTGTTCTTCGAGGTTCGCATGATGACACCGGAAGCGAGCTGCGCTTGAGTGCTCGAGCCAACGAGCTTGAGCAAATGCTGAAGTTGTGGATCGAGAGCTCTGAGAACCTCGAAATTCTCGGCAGGTTCGAGATCTGACAGAGTTTGTAAATTTCCGTGTGAGTGGGGTGCGTGAGCTGTTTAAACGACCCATCTTGGGAATCGCGTGGGTCATTTTGCAGATCTGATTGTTTGGTGCTGCCGCACAGAAAAGCACACATTTGGGGTATGCTGCAACAGTTCAAGATCAGCCTTTCGAGCTTAATTAAGCCCATGCTGAAACACAGGAAACGGCATTAATAATCGAGAAATCACGGACTCGACAAGTGCACAGAGAGCCGACGCAAAAGTTTAGCGAGGGTTCAGCAATACAGGCAGCCAACCCAAAGCAAGTTTGGGGTATTTTCAGATTCGGCTGTGGCCGCAAGCATTCGCCAGTTGTACCCTGCGCAGTTCGGTTTTGAGGGTGCAGGCTTCTATAAACCCGAAACCATATAGTACTTTGCCTGCTGCGTGCGAGTGTGAGCGTCGAAACCTATAGTGCCCCCAAGTGCGAAAGCTTTTCTCAGCTCTTGGTACGTCGCCAAGCCGCCCAGAGGTACAAGCTGTGTGGCTTTACAAACACAGGCAGGGCTTTTCTTCGTTCAATCCTGGTACTTGTGACGGTGTTCTTCGAGGTTCGCATGATGACACCGGAAGCGAGCTGCGCTTGAGTGCTCAAGCCAACGAGCTTGAGCAAATGCTGAAGTTGTGGATCGAGAGCTCTGAGAACCTCGAAATTCTCGGCAGGTTCGAGATCTGACAGAGTTTGTAAATTTCCGTGTGAGCGGGGTGCGTGAGCTGTTTAAACGACCCATCTTCGGAATCGCGTGGGTCATTTTGCAGATCTGATTGTTTGGTGCTGCGGCGCCGAGATGTACAAATTTGGTGTTCCCTCAGATTCAGCTGTGGCCAGTCAGAACACGTGGGCGCCCATCCGAAGCCGTGGATCCCAGCTTCTCAGAGTCATTACAGCAGTTGCTGCTTGCTGTTGCAGGGCGTTCGATTGGTGTGCGATTGGTCGCTGCGCATGCTGCTTGCTGCTTGAGTTCGTTGAAGTTGAGTAGCTTTGTGTTGCCGATCTTGACCCCGTGCGCGCTGACCTGCGCGGTCAAGAACCGACGGTTGAATGAAGACATCCCCGTGAAGCGAGCTGCTCTTGAGAGCTACAAGCACATGCTGAGTCTAAGGATCACAGATATCTGAGAACTGTCTTCGAGCTGCTAGAAGCGGTGGCAGAGTCTGTGGCGTTGAGCCTGCCTGCCTCTCCGTTTCACAGTGCTGTCGAAGTTGCAGGACCACCACCGCAGCAGGAGCCGAGCCTTTGCTGCACATGCATAGCAGCCTCCGGCTTTTGCTGTAAGGTAGCCGTGCATGTCACCAAGTATATACAATATGTTTCTGTTCATGTGTTATGGTTCTTGAATGGTCTGATTATTCATTCAGTTTGTCTGTACGATAACCTAGTACACAAAACAAAGTACCTAGTTTAAGTTCACATATCCCACTCGACCCCGTTCAATCCTAGCCTTTCTGCTGTGCACACTGTATCTAGTCAAAGCCCCCGACTGGAAGGTCTCAGGTCTCGGGATCGCTTAAATTTCTGCGCCTGTCACCTCCGCGCATCTTCTACCAAAATACTGCAGTAATTGCTGCAAAGTAAATTGTAAGTAGGGATCAGGTAGTGCACAGATTGTAAACTTAGTCGAGTTGAGCATAGTGTAGTATAGTACAGCATAGAGTAGAGTAGAGGGCCCCAAAGAGCCCCAAGTACAGATAGAATCCACACGGACGTTGGCAAAAGTACCCCTGTCCATTGCTGCATAAGGATGTAAGTAGCAAAGTGAAGTTCTTCCTAACCAATATACTGCAGCATCTCAATACATCTCGGCATCAGAAAACTACACAAGCTCGATCAAAGCAACACGTGTGTCCAAGCCGGCCCGAGTAAAGAGTGCAAGGCCCCAAATCCAAACGAAAGAGACAACACATGAACCACACAGGTCAGCCACAATGACACAACATGCCAAGCGAGTTGGGGCCATTTGGCCTTCACCCCACCAAGCAGACGAGAGAGCAATACGGGCTGTAGCATATTCCGGAAAAACTCGATGGACCTATGTTTTGGCCAGAATATGTTCAGAGCTGTCTTCGCTTGTACTTCGGATTCCTGTGGTACCTCGGCCGATCCTCGTGGCCGTCTTTGAATTTGCTCTCAAGCTTGAGGCCGTTAAGTAGACAGCTATCCAAGCTGCTGAGCCGAGAAGCTTCTTAAGGCCCCCATATGGTACCCTTATGGATCCCTTAAATAGCCCCCCATACATAGCACCCTTATGGATCCTAAATTTAGCCCCTATAGACACCCCTTTAAAAAAAGGACCCCTTGGCAGCTCAGGACTCCGGCTCCTCCGCCGACAGATACCAAGGCGGTCCTTGCGGATCACCACGTGGTGTGGTGTAATTTAGGGGCCTTAGTGATTAGAATAGGGTTCCTTTAAAGGGATCCTTGAAAGGGTTCTATAAGGGATCTATAATAAAGTTCTATGATCTTAGGGGCCTTAATCATTAGAATATGGATTTGGGGGGTGATTATTATACGGATCAACAAGGAGCCCCCCAAAATAGTATGGGTAATTATCAAGGCCACTATATTAGCAGTTTAGCGGTGCCGTCACCGCAGTTGCACTCAAGGCTTCCAGTCCAGAATGCTTAAAGCAGGATGCCAGGAAGTTAGGAAAAGTATCGTAGGACTTCTGCATAGGGCTCAGTTTGAGCCACACGAGGCTTGTGTTTATGGTTAATGGCCACAAGCACTGGCAGAACTGTTGCCGGCTTTGTTGAGGCCGAGGACACAGAGGAGGAGGGGGATGCGCCGATGCCAGTCGCAGAGCACAGGCCCTGCAAGTGGGGTCGGCAATTCAACAGGGTAGACTCAGCAGGCAGGCCACCACCACCACCACCACCACCACCACCACCACCACCACCACCACCACCACCACCACCACCACCACCACCACCACCACCACCACCACCACCACCGTAAAAGCAGCAGCACCAGCAGCAGCCGCAGCGGCAGCGGCAGTAGCAGCGGTAGCGGCAGTGGCAGCAGCAGCTTCAGCATTGCGATAATCACCAGCTCTGTGGTAGCAATACTTGTGTGGTTTGGGTGTGATGAGGAGCAGCGTCTATAGCAAGCCAGACGGGCAGAAGGAATCTTCCAAACACCAAGTGACCTCTTGTGTTTTCAGGTTCGAGGGCTTTAGCCTGGAGTGCGTGGTGCCCATTACTGCAATTCTTTGTCACACTTAATTCTCCGTCTTGCTTGGGACCAGAAATCATATGTTGCTTCAAGACTCCTGATCACTCCAAAAGGAATTGCGAGAAGCTTCAAAAAGTTCGGCTAATTACACCAGGTGCAATTTCGCAACTGAGAATGTTTTCTCACTCGCGGAGACAGAGCACTCAACTTACAACACGATCGCAAGAGCAGAGCTCGTCGTTCGTTTGATATGCTTTTGGAAGTGTTGCTGTAACTGCTGTCATCCTACGAACTGTGCCTGGGAGGTTCCTCGACATCGACCCGCCTGTGGATGCCGTGACTCCCTCAGTTCCACATCCACGTTCACCACGCACTGCGGCTTACAGTAACCCTGCAAGCTCCGAACTTGCCAGCGCAGCGCACATGTTCGTGCTAGGACAAGTTCACCCCCCCCCCCAAAGCTTCAAGCTTAAAAACGAATCGACCGACGCCCCAGCAAGTAGGGTTTGGGGTTTAGGGTAGGGTTTGGGGTTTGAGCCTGAAACCCCCAACCCGAAACTCTACCATCCTTGCTTGGAGTCGGGCCGGGGTGGTTTGAGTGAGTAATCGTCCTTTCTGATTGCGGGCTGAGGCTTCCTGATTGCTCGAAACTTTCCTAGAAGCACGAAGCCCAAAACCTAAATCCCAAACTCCTCAAACGCCCCAGAACAGAGGCGAGGCATGGGGCATGGCTCTAGTGCCGCATAATTACCTCCAAAGCCCTATTCTGATTGTTAGGCCCTGAATAAATCTGCCCCGTGGAACCTATGTGCATAGTTTCAATCATGAAATCTCTCGTTGCAGAACCCGGAAAGGCCCCGTTGGGGCCAGTGTCTAGGGACGTTTCAGTCAGGCGGCCTCCGGAATGGCGGCCTTGAGGAAAATCTTTGAGGAGGCTTTGGCCTGAAGTTGGGCTGCAGGACTTACTTGAGTCGGCCAGAACATGCTGTGTTGGTTCCCTCTGCATTCAGCCATAGGAGGGGAGATGCCCATATTTACCTTACGAACACTTAGATCAGGGGTTGGTAAGGTTGGTTTTTGGGAGTTTGCTTAAGGAAGCGATTTAGAGGTTTGGGGCTTGGGCTCTAGGCAGAGACGGCTGGGAGTTAATTTGAGGATTACGGTGATGGAACTTGGGGAGTTTGGTATGTAGGATTTAGAAGACGCTGGGCTCATCAGTTTGGCTACAGTTACGGTTGTGGAGCTCCTATCGGCTAAACGCCCATCTGGAAAGCTTTATGGGGCTCTTACACAAATCCTCCTCCGAGCGCTGACACTTAGAACCCTACAGTGAATGTACAGCACAAACTTAGAACAACAAAACAAACATCAAAGCCTCCTGGCCCCTCGCCTCTGAAGGCAGCGGCCCTGTCTGACTGGCAGCCTCGGGCATCCGAAGAGCAGGCGACGAAGGCGAAGATCGTGGAGGCGAATCCGCGGAGCTTTTCGGTGTTTTTCGGGTTACCTATAGTCTCCATTGTGGTTCTCTTTTTTGGTATTATATAATTAGGATCCTACAAGGTAACCCCAAAAAGGAGCTACAATGGAGACTCTAGGTAGGGCAGAGGATTCAGGATCCAGGGTCCAGGGTTTAGGGCGAGCACTAATCAAGCCTGTGGAAAAAAAGGGCGCACGTTCTTGTAAAGGGCGACAAGACGAGCCCGCTGCAATTGGGGTTTTGGGCTTGCTGTACAGCTCTTAATGAGGTATTAAGGGTTTCAGATTACAGATATTGGATTCGGTTTGGGTAAGTGTTGCAGCCAGTAGTGATCAGTAGTGCTGCAGATTTGCCTGGCCCTCAGTTTCTGTTCTTCAGGGGTACCCAGTCAAGATGATTGCAGGTCGAGGTCTGACTAGACTTGAGTCCAGTGGCAAAACAAGGGATTGGGATTTAGAGGTTTAGGTGTAGGGGATAAAGCCACAAAACCCGCTTCTGCTGCTTTTTCTTAAGCCCCACTATGTCTATACTCTATACCCTGAAACTGCACACAAATCCATAGCGGCAGCAAACCCAGAAGCTCAGGACTTGTAAACCGTGTAAACCGCGACATCCTCGAGCCGCATTTAAGGGCTCTGCGTCCACGAAACACAAAACCCCACAAGCCGAAACTGTTCCGAAACCGGTGCTCGCGAAAGATTGAGTTCCAGGAAGTCGCCCAGCTCATCGGCCAACTGGAGAGTTCGGAGCCTTGTCTGCAGGCAAACTTTGAGGTCCAGGGATAGGTATACACCTTTCGTAAGCCCATTATCGGTTCCATAAGAGATTTTGCAGTAGGCTTTGAAGACGTGGGGTTGTAAGTCCCCTACTATGGGTTATAAGTATAGCTACCATACTTATCACCCTACCATGAACCTCCAAGAAGGCCTCTTTGATCTTCTTTGCACTTTGGCCTTGGGCATGATCGGGCTTGGGCTTTACATGTGTATTCCTTCAAGACAATGTGAAGACCTGGTTGAGAAATCGCTGCTGCTTGTTTTGAGGGCCCTTAAGATGGATCGCATTCTTCTTGGTGCTAACAGCACTTTCTTGTGTTTCCTACACTGCCTATCACACTTCTTGCATCCGGGGGGTTAGTGCAAGAAAGCCCCCCGAAGATGACCGGACCATTTCTGTAATCCGCCCAGTTTTCAAGCTAATATACGGGCCTTAAATAATCAGGGTAGGGTATGGGGGGTATATTAAACCATAAGTTATAATAAGGACCCCCCCCCAAAAAAAAACTATAGTTGTTGGCCCCTTCATTATAGTACCTTTATAGATCCCTTATAGTAGCCCTCATAGACCCTTAAAGGAACCCTATTCTAATTGCTAAGGCACCTACATTAATTGCAGCCTACTGGTTCCGGTCTTCACGGAGGGGTTTGCCTCTGGAGGCTGCTCCAGCTCTGAGCAAGAGCCCATGTTCCAAGGTTTGCCTCCTTCCTTTTTTTTTCCCGAGCGGGGGAGAAGCTGGGGTTTGAGCTGCAACCTTTCAAATTGCGGAGAGTTGCAGTATGCAGTATAAGGGCTATTAACGCGAAACCGTGGTATCCGTGGTCCAAGGATCTGGGTAGTCCCCAAGCCCAGTTGCAAAAAACTGCTATTAACGGGAAGGAAGTGTAGTCGGGGTCCGCAAGTTGGTACGCGGTATGGCATTGGTGGAAAAGGTCCCGCCCTCATGTAACTTGATTTTTTCAGAGACCCGTGAAGGGTTCAATAGGACCGCCTGGCTCATTTCAGGTTCTGGATGTGCTCCTGGAAGACAGCTCCGAGGTCCCTCTCAGATTCCGGGAGTATCAGAACCCTCAAGCCAACAGCCACCCAGAGTGCTCGTTGAAGAGCATGACATCCGTTGGGTCAGGCATCAATAATCATGATGATAATGTGGGGGCCTCGATGGCTATGGGGTTTCTTCACTACTGATCCTGATAAATGTATCTCATGAATGCTTTCTTGCTGCTGGTAACCAAGCTCCTGCACAGAATGTTTCGGCTCGATTGCACAACGAGCCCCTCTGCTTTCTGCACAGGTCGTTGCCGTTGCCATTTGTTCCATCCGGTGTTCGCAGGAAGACCGTTGTGAGCAGAGACACACGGGTCCATGCTGCAATTTCTCTCGCGGTCTTCCTCGAAGCAGGGAGCCACAAAGCCCTCCTCGTCATCCATGTCCTCGTCTAGCAGCGGTTTTGGAGGTCTGAGGCCAAGGGTTCGCGTGACCCCTTCTCCTTCGCCCTCCCACTTTGTTCAAGCTAGTTCGGAAAAGCAGACTTCGTCGACGGCTCCGGCGCACGCTTTGCCAACAAGATCCCCAGATCAGCATTCGGCGAAACTGCTTCGCTTCCTGGCGGACGTCTCCTCCAAGCCTCAGGAGCTTGAAGACGAAGTCGCGGAGCGCAGGCGAGACATGGAGAAGAAGCTGGAGATCGTAAGCCTGCTTTGGCAGAGCCGCAGTCTGAAATCCATGGATGACAGCCTGTCAGTGGCTCCAGAAGAAGCATATGGCATGTCGAAGTCTCCAGAAGAATCATGCCGTATTCGCAAGTGCGAGTCTTTCGCCGTGCGCTTGTAGCGAGATTGTGTTCATCAGCTTTTCTTTTCGATGCACCTTGTCGAAACCGGAAGCTCAGGCACAAAAACAAATCAGAGGCCAATAGGTGTCCATGCATACTACTGCCAGGGCTTTTGGGATGCAAAAAGAACCTTATCATAAATGCCAAGTGCATAAGCACAACAGAATTCCTGAACTCCCTTGTGGGCTTGGCACAGGGATGTGGTGGTTGTTCCACATGATGTTTAGTCATCCATCATATGTTGCAATGAGAGCCACCTCCTTGTTGCAACACCAGAGAGTGTTTCAGAGGTGACCAGCAACCCGAGTTTGAGGGTGCAGGCAAGCTCTGCCCTGCACTGCACACCTCGGACCCTCAAGGAGGCACCTCGGCGTCGTCTTTACATTCAATTATGCCAGGGGGTGTTCGGATCATGGCCCTTTTTCCCGAGCCCTACGTTAGTACATAGTACCATGGAACAGGCTAAGTACTACCTAGATCCTGCTCTAGAACACCCCCGACCAGCGCTCGCATGGGAGGCCACAGTCGTCAGTCTTGGGCCTAGAGGCTACAAGAGCGGATGCCGTCTTTACGATCATGCCTGGCTCAACAGAATGCTCGTTCCGTGTGCAATCCTACTTCTGGTTCGCCCTTCCTGTTGCTGCTGTATGCTAACTATTTCCCCCCTCGCATTGGCATGCTTGGTGTTTCGCAACAGCCAAGCATGATCTTTGAGCATTGAAGTTGCACTGTCGAAGCCTGCTGCGACGACTGCTTTCAGTGCTGCCCGATGTTGTAAACCCTCTGCTCATCCTACTCCAGTTGAAGCACCACTACTACACTAGGGTCTGAGCCGTGAAGGGTTGCGATCTGCAACAGGCTTCAGAACAGGTTCCAGGATCCCGAATCTTTTCTCAGACGATGGTGCACTGGGAGCCGCAGAGATCCCCCGTGACTATCGGCGCCTCAACGATCAGAATAGTTTCTTGAGGTAGAATCTTATAGTTATACCATACAATATTAATATACTGTATTTTCGGTCTTATGATGTGCTGCAAACAACATTTAGGGGATACAACGTTTTATTAGATGTTTTAAAAACGCAGACCTGCATTTGATTGCATTAGCGGCTGCAGCCTATTTACGGGTGGTGCACGGCCACCAGTGAAGAGTTGAGACTTGCAAATCTGCCCGGCAGCTACAGATTCAGATTGGACCGGGCTTCTTAAAGGGACCCAGAAGGGCCCTATTAAGGGATCCATAAGGTTTAAGGCGTGTAAAGTAAGGGATGAACCAGGAACCCCCCAAGGACCCTTGCATGGAGCCCATAGGGCCCATTATGGCTCTTAATATTGGGTATGGAGGGTAATGGTATTACATAGAGGGTAGGTGGGGGTCTACGAAAAGCCTTCAGAATTTTACATGGCATTGGTGAGTAAATCTGGCCATAGTTCAGTACGCGGCCCTGATCTGTTGCGTGGAGCCTGCTGGGCAGCAGAAGAGCCCAAATTCCATGGCCTTGAGCGCTTGGGAGCCGGAGCTTGGGATACTTCCCCTTAACTTTAATCTAAGGTTAGAAGTATGCCCCAAGTATGGACCCTTATAGGGACCCCTAAGAGTCGATCTAGGACCTTGTAAAGCAAACAGTCTATTCCAAGCTGTCCCTCATGGCCATGGACGCTGGAGCTGATTTTCGAAAATGGGCATTTTTTCAGCTGTGCCCAGAAGGCCGAAAACCGGTCATGGGGTTAAGGGTTTATAGGGGAATACACCATGAGAAGGACCGCTCTATAGGTTCAAGCAAATGCTCAATTCTTTTGGTGTGTTTGAGTCTATGCTGTATGGCTGGGTGTTTAGCAAAAAAGGATTGCGTGCCGAGGCTCCTATATATTATATGGCGTGGAGATGAGGAAGCGACGTTGCGACAAGACGTCGAGCGGCAACCATGCGACGAGCACAAAGGACTCAGGTGAGTGCTCGCTACGCACCTTGAACCCTCACCCGCAAACTCCCACAACTCCCGACCCTATAAGAGAAGCCTTACCCACTCAGACCAAGTCTCTTTTTATCAGTTTTCGCGTGGATGAGAAGATCGAAGGCGAGAGATCGGAGGCCTGAAATGTCGTTGACTCCAATGTGCTAGCACTCAGACCCCGATTCATCCTCCTGCTGCGAGTTGCCAGAGTCCAAACCTCAGACCCCAACCACTCACCAACCCAAAATCCCCGATACCATAATAAACTGTTAACTTTCGTAGCCCCGCTGACCTAATTAACATCCCCAATACCACATTAGACCGTTAACTTTTGTAGCCCGATGCCCTCTGAACACGATCTAGAGTAAAAAGAGCTGGCGGCTCCATAAGTAGACTTACAGGCCATGGGACCTCGGGTGGGAAGAGTTGAGATGGACCGTTTATATAGGGGCCTTAATGATTAGAATAGGGTTTTGGGGCCCATCATACTATAATGATTAATAGGGAACCCCCAAAGAGTATAGGTAATTCTTGAAGCCCCTATATTGTGTTTGCAGATTTGGGTATTGGGCTAGTCTGCTGTGCTCATGCCAGCATAGTTGTAGTTCCACTCAGCCGGCCTCGAAACATATGCCTTGCCTGGTCTGTCCGAGTGTGAGCGCCGAAACCGTTAAAGGAACCCCTTAAAGTAGGAGCCCTTAGAGGAAGCCCTTAAAGGAACCCTTAAAGGAGCCTTTAAAGGAACCCCCCAAGAGGAACCCCTAAAGGAACCTTTGAAAGGAACCCTCATTAAGGGTTTACCTATAGTCCCCATTGTAGTTCCTTTTTTCGGTTTAACCAATTATATAATTAGGATCCTATAAGGTAACCCCAAAAAGGA